AATTTGATTGATTGATTGATTATACTGGATGAGACAAACGCCGCAAAACTGAAAGCTGTCCCCTCTGTCAAACGACACAGTTGCAAGACATACAGTATATGCCACATTTCAGGTGATCTTGAAGAACAGTTCATAGAAAAACTCAGATGCATGTTTTTCATTACAAGTGGATGAGGCTACTGACAGCAATAATGACTGTTTATTTCACATGTTTGCTTTGTAAATTCTAAGTCACTGAGTGAGGATTTGTTTTTTTGCAAGTACATCCAAACTAGAGCCTCAGCTGATAAGCTCTTCAAGATTCTTGACGGTTAACTCACAAAGCACAAGTTGAAATGAGAGAACTGTGTGGGCTTTTGCTTGCATTGTGCACAGACCATGGCAGGGAAAAGAAGAGGACTGCAGGCTCTAATCAAGAGGGTTGCGCCAAATGCGCAATCGACAAAATATGCTCATTACTTCTTCTTGTTCTTTGTTTCTTCTTTACCTGTGTTTTATCAGAGTGTGGACTCTCCTGAGGAAGCAGACATAACGTCAGACTGACTCTCTGTTTTGGCTCTTGAAAGAGCCTGTAATGTGTGTGGGATGTTTGGATGTTCCAAGTTCCAAATAACTATTGGCTGTAATAAAACATAACAATTTTCTGGCTTTAAGTTAAAGATTTTGGCAGTTGAGGTGCAATTTTTAGGCCTTTCATTAAGGCTCTGGGATACCACCAGGTGGAGCCTCATACCACCAATGGTACCACAGTTTGGGAATTGCTAGCCTATAGTACATGAAGGATAGCTAAACTAAAGTGAATCACTTTTAACAGGACTCCATTTTGGGTCTCTGGACATACACAACATCAGTTGTGTTTTTAAAGGACTAAAACGTCGTCTGACCCATTTCTAGCTTGGATTCTCTCACAATAAATGACCTTTGCTCAAATAGTTTACCTTTTGCTGCTTGGGTGGCTACCAGTGGCACTCATCAGAGAGCAGAAGATGATGAGGAGGAAGGGGAGGAAGATACATATCAAGAAAGCGGAAAGAATGTAGACCAACATGTCTGAATAGCTGCTCTCCCAGAAAACAGCACACAGCATCTCTGCAGGGTCATACCTGGAAGAAAAAGAAGACATGAAAGAAAGTGGTACTTGTTAGCCCTTAACAGCCTCATGTCCTGGGCTGTTAGTGGTTCATAAGTATTATACTTGTTTAATTCTTTTTTTTCCCCCAGCCTTGTGGTGTTTGTCTATTTGTCTTCAACAACATTCTGGTTTTAAAAAGTTAAAATTGACAACAGGCATACTTATTTTAATCCAAAAGAACATTACAAAACAATGTATATAGGGGTGCAAGTTTTTTTTCTTGAACTTTGCGGAATGCTGGGTTAGGGGGTGGTGCTGTAATTTCCAGTTAGACCTCATGTTGGCACAGTTGTCTCACACAATGATGAATCCTGTTTTTATTAGCTCACTTACAGTCTTATAGAATGTTCTTTCATTTTGGAGGGCCACTGATTACCCATGTGGGATACCATTGAGATGTTCAGTAGGCTTAGTGAGTAGGATTGTGATTATGTAACTGACCTTCCCAATTTGCTGCAAATGGATGGAGTAGGAGCTATTTTATCTAAGAATATGAACAGGTGTTGGTTATTTGACATTAGGGACTGCTCAGTAGGTCATTGGTAATTAGAAAGTCAGCTAGGGCTATAAATTTTGGCTAAATTCAAATTAAATCAAGCTTTATTGTGTGAATGCTGTCACACGTGTGAATACTGTTCAGCAGCATTCACCCTTAAATAAGTTGTCAAATCAAAAAAGAAAAGAAATGACATAAAGACTAATGGTGAAGACCCAATGAGCGTGGTGCAGTGCGATGTGAAATTCACCCACATTTATTTTCAGTGAGACACATTTTCTATTAAATATAAGAACATTGTCACATGTCACTGTCGCCTTGTGTTGACACACCCATATAGAAGTGGCAGAGGCAATGGTGCATGATTTATTCATTCTCAGTGGATCTTCACTGTAACATGATGCACTAACAAAGTACCTGATCCAGCCATAGATGACAGGAATGCTCCCAAACACCAGCCCTGTCATCCAAGAAGCCAAGCATGCTGTCGCCATGACAACAAAGAGAGCACTACCTGTGGATGCCATGCCAATAAGCCGCTGCACGCAGAGGATAGCTGAAAAGGAGCAAAGAAACCCTCAGACTGACTGCATCAACGCACTTATGGTACTCCTGATAGAATACTATTTAATGTGATACTAATACTACATAGTTACCTGGGCTGCTACTGCACAACCAGTGGTGTGCAGTACAACATGTGCTTCCTACTGTAGAGAATTATAGTTCTGAGGGAAATATTGTACTTTTTACTAAACTACATTTACTCAATAGCTATAATAACTACATATTTTCATGTTTTACATTGACCAGCTATATCAATAATCATCGTCATTTTCATAAGCCAGTACATATGGTATAAATACTGTACAAAGACTGCATTTGCCATTCACATAGAAAACTGTCAGGGAGGTGAATGACGCTCCCGTGAAGATAGAGGAGTGAACCCAATTAAAGAGCCAGTAAGCTGAGGCTGTAGAACAGACTTTTAATGTCCTTTTGTGATTTCAGCAGAAACATACAGTCTTGGTGGATCAGGCAGAAGAGTGGTACTTAATACGGTCCAGGGTCGAAGTCTCCGGCAGGGCAGCAGGGAAGGCAAGGCAGAATCACAGGCTGGTTGAACAGGCAGGGTGTCGATCTCAGGTTGGCAGTCAGACAAGAGGGAGCAGGCTGGATCACAGGTTGTTAGAGCAGGAAAGGGTCCGGTACCAGGAAAGCAGTCTGAGGGAAATGCTGGAGAGTCTAGACAAGGCATAGAACAATCTGGCAGCTCCTCACAGTGTGAGGTAGCAGGCCGGTGAAGAAATCTAGGGCGATGTGGGTCCAAGGTCGTGAGGGGATAGGAAGCGAGTGCAGTAGTCCAGAGGGTTTGCTGGATGAGGTCTTGTTCTTGGCACAGTCCTGGCAGGCGTTGACGAATTCTCTGATGTCGTCCCATAGCGTTGGCCACCAGAAATGTCGCTGGACGACATAGCAGGTCCGGGCCACGCCCGGGTGGCAAGAGAACCGGGATGTGTGACACCATTGGAGCACTCGAGATCTGATGAATGCAGGTACAAACAACCGACCTGGGGGGCATATGGACGGGCTGGGGTCATTTGCCTGGGCGGCCAGTACCTCCTGCTCAATGCCGAGTTGTACGGCTCCAAGGCGAGCAGCTTGTGGCAGGATGTAGGCGGATTCTGTGTCTTCTTCCTCTTCCTTGTTGTGCTGTCTGAACAGTGCATCTGCCTTGCCATTCTTATGCCCTGGGCGAAAAGAAAGGGAGAAGTCAAAGCGATCAAAAAAAGAGTGCCCACTTCGCCTGCCTGGGGTTGAGCCTCTTTGCCGTCCGCAGGTACTCCAGGTTTTTGTGGTCGGTCCAGACCAAGAACAGCACTTGAGCCCCCAGCCAGTGTCTCCACTCCTCCAGGGCCAGTTTCACCGCCAGTAGCTCCCTCTCTCCAATGCTGTAATGGCTTTGGGCCGGGGTGAGATGCCTGGATATGTCAGGGTACAAGTCTGGCTCTGGCTCGGTCTCTGCCCCCTGGCTGATAGCTGCTTGCAGACAATGGGTGGCACATTGTGGTGACCATTCGGTTATCTTCCCTGTGGCCCACGAGATCTTGGCACCGTGCCTCACCAGCCAAGGAAAGCCCAAGACTACAGGGTGATGTGGGGACTGCATTACAAGAAAGTCAGTTGTTTCTCTATGATTATCGATAGAGAGGGTTAATGGTGGTGTGTGGCTGGTAACACGTTGCAGGAGCTTGTTGTTAAGAAAATGAATCAGGAGTGGGTTACTCACGGGGTTGCTGGGGATTTTGGTGCTGATGGAGAAACGCTGGATCGATGAACCTGGCGTCAGAACTGGAGTCGATGAAAACAGGGACGGGGATGGTCTTGGTACCATAGGAGAGCTGAGCTGTAAGCATGGGACGGGAGGCATGTGTATTCACTGTTTCGTGGCTCAGCAACGCCATCCCGGTCCTGCTGAGCCTCTGCCTTTTGCTGGACAGAACAACGCCCGATGGCCAGGCCCCCCACAGTATAGGCATAAGTTCAGCCTGAATCTGCGTTCTCTCTCTTCTGGATTTAATCGGGAGCGGCCCAGTTGCATGGGTTCAGGGTTTTCAGTAGCTGTCCAGACGTATTCCTGGGGGGGCATCTGGTGTTGTCCCCGTTCAGATTGTCTTTCTCTGTATCGGCCGTCTATTCTGGTGAACAGATCCATAATGAGCCGCAGGCGTCTGGGCTGGTCGTATGCTGTGAGTGCGTCTTTCAGTCTGTCTGATAACCCTCCATAGAAGGAGTTGATCAAAGCGGGTTCGTTCCATTCTGTACAGGCAGCCGCGGTGCGGAAGTCTATTATGTAATCCACTGCTGTCCGGTTCCCTTGTACCAAGGTGCGTAGAGAGGGAGAAGTGGCTGTAGCATGGCTGGGTGGATCGAAGATCCTTGTTAGTTCCACACCGAACCTGTGAAACGTAGCGCAGCAGTCCAATCGGTTGACCCACTCGGCTGTACCCCACCGGCGTGCTAGGCCCGTCAGTAACAATAGTGTGTAAGCGACCTTCGACCGCTCCGTGGGGAAAGCCGAGGGCTGGGACTCAAACTGTATCTTGCACTGCGTCAAAAAAAACAGCTGTCCCCACTCTCTCCGCCGTACCCCTCCGGGGGTGGGATCCTGTGTTCATGGACACTTGGCATGGTGACTGGATGCTGTACTGAAGCCCCGGCAGTGGTGCCTCGCAGCACGTCCTCATGAGCCAGACCATGTACTATGGTTTGTACCGTCCCCAGCACAGCCTCATGAGCGGCCAGAGCCTGTTCAATGTGCTCCTGCCATTCATGGAGCTCGCTACTGGCTGGGTTCATTTTGGCCAGATTGTACTGTCAGGGAGGTGAGTGATGCTCCCATGAAGATAGAGCAGTGAACCCAATTAAAGACCCAGTAAGCTGAGGCTGTAGAACAGACTTTTAATGTCCTTTTGTGATTTCAGCAGAAACACACAGTCTTGGCGGATCAAGCAGAAGAGTGGTACTTAATATGGTCCAGGGTCACAGTGTGAGGAGCTGCTATATGCTGTGGTGAACAGGTGTGGGTGATTAGTGGCAGGTGAAACCAATGTGCATGATGAGCTGAAGTTACCGGGGTTGTGGATGAGCTGGTGACAGGAAGTATTTTCAGAATAAAAGCAGGGAAAACCGGAAGCCAGCGGGGGAGGATCATGACAGAAAACATTTAATTTGGAAACGATCAGAAATGAGCACTTAAGTTAGTTTATCTGTCTTATATATATAAGTATGTATATCTGTCTTGACTTGATTGTTAACAGGGCATGGTGAACCCTGGTCTAAGGTTTATAGCATCAGCACAATACACTGAATGTATATTTACATATACTATGGTGTATGTCCTAAAAGTATTTGTTTATGACTTTATTATTTATTCCATCTTTACCAGTAATAATATGCCTAATTGAATAATGTTGATAACATCCCACTGCCATTGGTTTGACACCATATGCAACATAATGCACATTCCCTTGCTTGTTGATATGTACATACACATTGACAGCCGCTGTACCAGAGTCAAATTCCCCGTGTGTCCAACACACCTGGCCAATAAAGCTGATTCTGATTCTGAACATGTTATTCACCAAGTAACCACAGCGGGTGCTAATATGTAGTCTCTAAGCGCAAAGCAACATGATATTTGTCGTCAATATGCCCTGCTACCATTTTGTACCATGCAGCCCCATTAGCCATTTTGTCTCAAGGTAACACGACCCAGTGCACCCTTCCTGAAACCAAATGCTTCGCAGTTGTTCTTATTCATTCTGTGTTACAAAAGATTAAGCAGAGTATGATAGATGTTTCATCTCTCTTTTTTATTTACTCCCCAGTTGCATCATGCAACTGTTTCATAGTTTTACACAAACAAGCCTTTAGGACACAGTGTGTGTTGTGTGTATTAGGATGCTAATAATGCAGAGGTGGTAAAACTTTTCTTCTAGCTCTTTTCTTCACTTCAGAGGTCTCTGCAGGGCCTAACGGGGAAAGCTTGCAAGCCCCTATATATCCCGTTGCATGTGTCCCTGCAGGTGTCTCTGCAGGTGTCCCTGAGATAGCAGAGGAGTGGCTGCTGGACCACCCCCTGCTGGAGCCATGCATGATAAGGGGAGAGGCATTACACCATATAGAAAAATCCTATAAGGTTTGCACCCCCATCTGACCAAACACATGCTGCAGCAGTATCTGTAAATGTGTCCCAATCAGGGTGGAGACAAGGATGAAGACACTATGTGTCTATCAGTTACAATGAACCATATATAACAGATAGGGGATCTTATGTGGCATACTAAAACAGTATGAAAACTGCAACGGTAATGTCAACACCCTGTAGAGTCTTCTAACATAGGTGTTAACCAGACAGGCTGTATACTGTATACTGTGTTACCCGCACAAGCCTGACACACAAACCCAGACACATACACACAGATACACACACTAAGCCAGGGGTGGCCCTTTCCAGTCCTCGAGGGCCGCTGTCCTGCTTGTTTTCCAACAATCCCTGCCAGGCCTGCTGCTGATTACCTGGCTCAGGTGTGTTCAGTCAGTCAGAAGCTGGAAGATACCAATTCACTTTATCTTTCCTCACTCCACTTTCATCTAAGATGGTATCTTCCAGCTTCTGACTGGCTGAACACAGGTCAGCCAGGGATAGTTGGAAAACAAGCATGACAGTGGCCCTCGAGGACTGGAATTGGCCACCCCTGCACTAAGTTGATATCTATGGTGCTGGTAGTACAGACCTTGTTGAATAAAGCACCAGAAAGACAAAATACCTGTAAAGTTAGAAATGTTTCAGTCACCAACTATATTTGTGATTATGCTATTGTCTGATTGCTTAATAAACCACATGAAAGACAACTTGAAAGTCTCTTTATTGATTTCCACAACAGAACTTGGCATTAGAAGTGAGATAGGTTGACTGTTTAGCTCTGAGGAACAGTCAGAGATTGGCCAAGGTAACGATTCTTCCCAATGGGTGAGAAGCTGTCTTTCCAGAAAGCCTGGACAGTATTCCTATCACCGAACCATAAGGTAAACAGTCAGATAATACCATACACATGCTGGACAAGAAATTGGTCAGGAACCAATTAACACTAATGAGGAACAAGGAATTGGTCAGGGACCAATAATCTCAATACAGCAGTAATGACTACGGTAATACAGTAGGTCTGGGACCAGCAAGTATATTACAGCAGTAGTTGTAGTAGATACACCATAGTGTTCTTGGGCCATTTGGATTAACTGTCTAATTGGACTGGGTCCACAGTAGAAGGAAACAGACAATCCCTGTGGTTGTTCACACTAGAGGTAATGGGAAAATCACAGAGTAAAGAAAGTAATATTAATGAACCAGGGCCTAGATCTAATATATTACTGTATGGAACAAAACTATTCTGTCAGCAGTGTTCAAATAACAGAATGGGAACACCTTGGGTTCCCAGTTAGACCAACTGAGCGGCTGAGAGGCTGGAGCAGAGAGAGAAATCAGATGCAGCCCATTTTCTAAATCTAACAAAGAAACAGAAGAAAAAATCAACATCTTTTAAAGGTGACTGGAGTGTGTACAACATGTAGAGACAAGAAGCTGAAAGTAGGTAAAGTATGGGAAGTGGCAGGGGCCACGGGCCCCCAGCTTATGTTCCGCCCCTGGCAGGACAGAAATGTGGAGGAGGTGATGAAAAAGCTGCTGGAACCTAGGAAGAATCCAGACAAGTGAAACAGGATCTCGGGAACTTGGCCCGAGACCATAACCCCAACATGGGTGGAAAGACTGATGAAAGGTCTGTTGGTACTAGATTTCCTTAAGATCAGAGATGTGTTCAGAGAACAGACACGAGAGTTCAGAATGACAAGACCAGACTGGGCCCAGTATAGAGACAGAGTGACTATACTGATTAATAAAGTGAAGGAAGGTTTTTCCTATGAAACAGGATATGATCACCATTACTTCCATGCATCACAAAACTGATGAAAGCGTTGCCAGTTTCCTGCAGCACTTTACTGAAGCATTTGATGTTCACAGCAGACATCACCAGTATGGAGAAAATGCATTTTTCTCCATGAGTTGCACCGGAAAGACACTTTCCAGAATCAAATGAAACCTGAACTTAGTGAGGCAGTGAAAAGCAGCTGTCTAAACAAAAAACATGCTGCCTGGCTGACATGCTCCAACACGCAGTACACGCTGGAGATGTCCTTAAATGCAGAATGGAACAAAAGAAGCAAGAGTGGCAAGATAAGCTGGAACAGGCACAACTAACCATGTATACTGCCCTGCCCAAGACCCAGCAGGAGATGGGCATGGATGGGGACTAGGCCGGGGATGAAGTCGTGGAAGACATCCCATTGATTCTGCTTGTTACCGCTGTGGGGGGAAAAGACACCAGGTCAGAAACTGCACCAGCCCTGAGCCAGAGGGGTTTCCCTGATGGGCTGCAGCTCAACCACAACCGCAGGCTGAGTGGGCAGAGGGGACACCAGCTGACCTTCCACCATACATGCAAGCATCCACCTTTAAGATTAGGCTTAAGACTTTCCTTTTTGATAAAGCTTATAGTTAGGGCTGGCTCAGGTGACCCTGAGCCTTCCCTTAGTTATGCTGCTATAGGCCTAGACTGCTGGGGGCCCCTATGATTCTCTGAGTTTCTCTCTCCATGCATCTATATGCCACCATTACACACCATTATTATCATTAACTGTGTCTCCTCTCTCCTGTAGTATGTCCTCTCTCTCTCTCCCTGTACCTTTCTGCAGGTAGCCCTGGCTCTGGGGCTCTTAGTTTCTGATGAGCAATCACCGGCCACATCAACCTGCCAAATGTTTAACTGTTTGTTGTGTCTCGTTGTTTTTCTTTTTCATTCTCTCTCTATCCACTCACCCCCACCCGGTTGAGGCAGAAGGCCGCCCACCAACAGCCGGGGTCTGTTGGAGGTTTCTTCCATTAAAGAGAGTTTTTCCTCCCCACTGTTCCCAAATGCTTGTTGGGTTTTTCCACTATAATAATAATAATAGTGAGGTCTAGACCTTATTTTGTAAAGTTTGCTGAGATGCCTTTGGTTGTGATTTGGCACTATACAAATAAAACTGAACTGAACTGAATAGCAGCATTTTAGGAGCTACATTTAAGACATGTCCCCTCTCCAAGATACTGTATGTCACCACCCTGATTCTAAATCTCTGGGTTCCTCCACATCCACATTTCTCTGCTATTCTCAGCTGGTCCATGCATTTGGTCTCCTTCATCACTTCACCTCACCCCCCTCATCCCTCCATCCTGAGCCTGCTTTCTCATTCCTTTTGCCAGGTTTGCTCGTCGCCACCTGCCTCTCTTGCTCTCCTCTCCCTCTCCCTCTCCACTGACATACTCCCGAGCGGAGCTCGCATCTGATGTGCATCAGATGATTACAGGGCTGAGTACTTAGGAGCCAGTCAGACATGCAAACACTGCCAGTTCGTTGTTCAACCCCTACAATGATTGGCCACGAAAGAAATTACAATCTTCTGTTCTACTGGTATCTACGATGTTTGCCATTCAAAGTAAGACTGTTTCAAGTTTTTCTGTACATCAATCTACTGTGCATCTTCCCATGTAGTCCCAGTCTGTCTCTTGTCTCCTGGGCTACGCCTCTGCTGCCTCTACTAGCTCAAGCCACGCCCACAGCACTCAGCTACGCTACCTCTGTAGCAGCTCACCTGCATCGGCACCATCCAGTCTGGGTCAACCCTCCGCTGTCCGCTCCAGCTCAGCCTCAGCCACTGCTGAACTACTCCATTCTTCAGCAGCTTCTCACCTGTACTGACACCATTCAATCTGGGTTTCTCCTCAGCTGTAATTGCCACACTGAGCCTCTGCCATAGCCCTCATCTATGCTACTCTTAGCAATTACCCACCTGTGTCCAGGCTCCCTTTCTCTCCGGCCACACCTCAACTACAACTCCCAGTCTAACCCAGCTACAGTTCCTGGCGATCTCATCATCCACTGTCCTTGACCATCCACCAGAGCTCATCGTAACAAGACCCCTACTCTTTGTGAGTCTAACAGCCATTCAACCCTTACTCATTCTCCCTCTTTCCTGTGCTCTCCCAAGAACTAGAGTTTGGCCGTCTGTCTCCACTGCCTGAGTCACCACCAGCATGAGTAATTGGGCCTCCATCCACTCTCTTTAGCCTTCTGCCTCTATCGGCCCGGGTTGAAGCAAGCATCTCATCTTCCCATAATCCATCTGTTGCTAACCTGAACTTCAATAAACCACTGTTAACCTGAGTTTGCTCTCTGGGCCCAGAGAGTAACCAGCCTTAACACCTTTATCCTCAACCCCCTCTATATCCCACTTCTCTGTCTCTGCATCCTTGAGAACATTTAGTGCTTCCACAGGAACTTGATGTTCTAATAAACAATTTTACATCCACAGTAGCATGCTCTTTGTTACTGAAACTACAGATTAAAACTAAGTCATGAAAAAAATAATTCAACATAAAGTTGGTACAACAGATCTTGGATGTAAGCCTTCATTTAGGGCAGTTACTTTTGCTTCCACTGTCTAGAAAAAATGATGAAGTGGTCCATATTAATGTGTGTAGAGCTGTGCAGTACCTATGCTCCCAATGGAGGAGGTGATGAAGGCAAATTTCAGCAGGCTGACGATCTCACACCATGGTGACCTCTGACCTTCTGTTAACATGGCCAACAGGGAGCCAGAAATTATGAGGAGGGAGCAGCCTTCACAACAGAGTGATTCATTATCAAATATGATGTCTTCCATCTCAGTATGTCAGCATAATTGGATGAATGTGTTATAATGTTAAAATCAAATGAAATTATGTTTGGTTGAGAGATAGTGAGATACATCAAGAAATCCAAAAATTTAAATATGTAATTCTGGAAATGCACCGGTGTCGGTGCCACTGTACCTAAATCTGACAAGGTGAGACTGATGAAAGGAAGCCAGTAGTGACAGCAGAACTGACCCCTGCACTGAAAATGAAAAATATAAGAAAAAAATATGTTGAGATCATACAAACAATAGTGATCACCCAAAACAGTCAACTTCAAATATAGTCCTTTATGGTGGCTGTGCTTATAGACAACTAACATGAATAACATCCATCCATTATCTATACTGCTTATCCTGAAGAGGGTTGTTGCAGGGGGACTGGAGCTAATCCCAACTGACAATGGTTGAAAGGCAGGGTACAGCCTGGACAGGTCACCAGTCTATCATAGGGCTGGCACTTGGAGACATTCAACCACACACACCCACACTCACTCATGCGACCAATGTGAATAATATTTCAAACAAAAATAAAGAAGAGTAACACCACCATACCATGACTTTGACCAGAAGAACAAGACAGTTTCCCACAACTCCCATGACCATCTCCCAGCAGCCCCCCCACCAGCCACTTCTCTGTACCTGACCACAGATGCTCCATGAACACAGTCCCATTCACTGGAAGACAGTGGAACACAGAGCATAGCAGAGGGTATTATAAATGTACCACCTGTATAGAACTGTGAGAGTACTGTTGACTGATTGTTTATACCAACATGTTTTAGATTTTGTGATGCTAGGAAGTAGAATAAAGCACCGTACATTCAGTGTGAGAGTTTTCTGCCACTGCTAACCAAGTGCCGGAGCCTCTGCCTGTTGGACAGAGGCTCCGGCGCTTGGTTAGCAGTGGCAGGCTAGCCTTCCCCGCTATACTGTTCGCAAATGTCCAGTCTCTTACCAAATTTAAGGAAATTCCATCATTATTAACTTCAGTGCCAACACAATGGAGGGCGGCCACCTTAACTTTACTCCCACACAAGATGATAATTGTGTTGATAGTACTGCAGCCTTCTTGCATACGACACTTGATATTTTTGTCCCTCTGAAAAGGAAGGCAGGGAAACAGAGGAGGCTAGTCCTATGGCACAGCTCTCAGCCAGAACTACATATTATTCATCACTGATAGAGGAAAATAAGAACAACCTCAGGTTTCTCTTCAGCACTGTAGCCATGCTGACAAAGAGCCACAGTGCTGTTGATCTTAATATTTCCTTAGATCTCAGCAGTAATTCATGAGCTTCTTTACAAATAAGATCACAATTATTAGAGATAATCGGATTTTTCCGCATCTCTCACAGATGTGTCACCAAGTACAGTGGCTTTAGAAACATCTGTAAGCCCTCATTTAGACTGCTTCTCTTCCATAGATCTCTCTGAACTGACCTCAACAATTGCTTCATTTAAACCATCAGCATGTCTCTTAGACCCCATCCTGACCAGGCTGCTCAAAGACATCTTACCCCTAATCAACACGTCCATATTGGAGCTGATCAACCTCTCTATATTAACAGGGTATGTAACATAGGCTTTTAAGGTTGCTGTAATCAAACCACTAATTAAAAAGCCTACTGTTAAACTAGGTGTCTTAGCTAGGTATAAAGCAATATCCAATATCTTTAGTTATAAAATCCTTGAAAAAGCTGTTGCAAAGCAGTTATGTGACCACATGCACATGAAAGATTTGTTTCAATATTTTCAGTCAGTTTAGTGTCGATCATAGTACAGAAACTGCACTGGTGAAAGTCACTAACAATCTCCTTCTGGCCTCAGACAAAGGATTCATCTTTATACTTGTCCTCTTAGATCTATGCTGCATATTATTACAGAGAGTTGAACATGTTATTGGGATTAAAGGAACTTCCCTAAATTGGTTCAAATCTAATCTATCAGAAATAATCTATCTTGTTCATGTTAATGGTGAATTTTCCATGCCCATTAAAGTTAGTCTTGGAGTTCCACAAGGTTCTGTGCCAGGTCAGTTGTTTTTATTCTATACATGCTTCCCTTAGGCAAAATTATTATGAAACATAGTTTAAACTTACATTGCTACCGGAGGTTTCTTCCAGTAAACGGAGTTTCCCTTCCCTGCTATCATCAAGTTCTTACTCAAGGGGGATTTGTCTGACTCTTGAGAGGTGTCTGCCTGTGCTCCAGAGCAGCTGGGGGACACACTGTGCTCACCATCTCACCAGCTAGGTACTCTTGATTGTTTCAGTGAAATTACCATACATTTTTGAAATTTCACCTTCACAGCACAAGTGCAGATAACTGCAAATGTGAATGGTGGCTCAGTTGACTGCAGCCTCTCTACTGGGATTCTGAAAGCTGTCTAAAATGAATACAGGAGTGTAAAAGGGCTTAAATAAAAGAGCTACCTTGAAGGAGCAACAAAATGCCAGAGATTTACCATGATCTCTGTGTAAAAGGAACATTTCTGGTTAACTGGTACATCGCTACACACAAGCCGCATCCATTTTTATTTTCGCAAACACAGTACGCTGCGTCTGACGTCACGTCCTCTTCTGCGCATGCGGGTCACCTCAGGGCCGTATACCGTTCACACATGAGACAGATGGCAGTCGCATTTAAATGACAGTGTGAACAACAGCGCAAAAAAAAAAAAAAAAAAAAAATCGGATTTCGGCAAAAAATCCGATCTGAGCATTAAGACCTGCAGTGTGAACGTAGTCCAAGACACGTGTATCTCCCCTGGAACCCTCGCATTTTTTTTAATGCTTCAGGTCTATTTTCCCCTCCATTGAATTTAGTTTAGTGTAATCCCCACAGGCAGCTGGTTAAAATCACATGTATCCTGTTATTTTTTCTAGTATCTATTATGACTGATAGGGCTGCTTTGAGTTTCACTTTCACTTTAGCCCCCTGTAGAACAGAGGAAAATCAATAAATCCATAGGCTAGAGAAAACGAGATATCTTCCTGACAAACATACATACAAGCTATTTTTGTCCAGTACACTTGTGTTGTTGGTTGGCCTGGACTTTTTGCCCAGCTGTTGTCCTGCTGACATACAGGCAGATGTTCTGATTACAAAGTACCGCTCACGTCTTGCTTTCAGGGTGGGTTGACTGTTTAATGTTAAAGATTTGTATGGTATTGTGTACTGAATTCCCTAGGTCATCTGATTGGAGAGTAGAGGCGTACGTAGTGGTGACTGGGACATAATGATCTTTTGCAGTCTAATTTTTTTGAATGGCTGACTAACAGTGATTTTAATGATGATAATTTATGTAGGCTATAAGATGTAACCTGGACTGTTTACTTACCTGTAGGACTAACAATGTAAATCTTGATCTTTATCATCCTTCACATTTTGTAGCTGTGTGTGATTTATTGTTTTCTATTCTCATGTCAAATCAACTAAAACAAATTTTTGAAATGACATTACATTACTGTAATTACATCACAATTGATAATGAAAATAAAGTGCGAACAACCATCAATAACTGGATACTCTGAATTTCTGCAAATAACAGAAAAATTAAAGAATCATTTGAAAATGAAATAAAACAATATGCACTATAAATATAAAACACTTGATTAAACAGTCCATTGCTTCTTCCAGTTTTAAAATGTAGCCTGCAGTTCATACGATACTGTATATACACACATGATTGTACAGTTAGATAATGCAGGATAGAAAGAGAAAGCAGTTGATGCAAGACTTGAGTGCAGGACTGTTTTAATCTAAAATTGTTCAAATTTATTGTTGCAGTATTCACTTTATTTAGCAGTAACTGTAATGTAAAAATATAGGGTGAGATGGTCACTGCCTAACATCAGACCTATGTCTGTGTCTTGTAGACATAATGTTGTCATACTGATTAAGTAATATGCATAGTGATAGATAAATCTCAATCTCAAAATGACTATTATTTGATATTTAATAGAAAAATGGTACACTTACTTTTGCAGCAAGTCATCAACACACAGCCTTCAACAGCAGTTACTAGGTCTTTGTAATGGAGAGTATAGATGTGTCATCAAAACCATTTTCAATTAAAATTCACATGCTCAATTTAACTAAACGGTAAATGCTCTGACGTATGGTGTGTGCGTGTATACTTGTAATTTGGTCTCTACTGCTGTTAACTACTACTACTACTACCATTATCCTGTAGGTGATGATTAAACAACAAGGAAAATAGCTTACTATAATACAAATATGTCACTTGCCTCACAGCAAGAAGGTCCTGGGTTCATGACCTTTCTGTGTGGAGTTTGCATGTTCTCCCTGTGCCTGTGTGGGTACTCTGGCTTCCTCCCACTGTCCAAAGACATGCGGCTTAGGTTGCTTGGTGACTCTAAATTGCCCGTGTGTGTGTGTGTGGTAGTTTGTCTGCGTGTTGGCCCTGCGATGGCCCAACCTGTCCAAGGTGTACCCCGCCTTTTGCCCGATGCTGGCTGGGATTGGCTCCAGCCCCCCCATGACCCCGTTCAGGACTAAGCAGTATAGAAAATGAGATGAGATTATTGAGGTCATAGCTAAAAGTGTCTATAATTTTGTCCTCCCCAGCTACATACATGAGAGGGTCAAAATATTAGGAACAAGAGGATGACATTGACATGGTTATAGCCTAAGTAGTTCATAAATAACAATAGCAGAGATGTACACTCTGCTGTAGTGGTTGTCCAGGTTGACGAGTAAAGCCGCCAACAATGTCAGTGGTGAACTCAATTATAATGCCAGACGAGATGTGGTAGATAACTTCTCTTTACGGAGCACAATAAATACTGTACCATACAAAAGTCCAGAAAACACACTCGAGTCAATAATACCAGTCCAGGGTCAATGCCGGCAAACTCACACAGTCAAGAAATCCAAAGTGAGAGGTCAGAGAGGGGAGTCCAATGGCCGGTGCACAGTAAACGATCAGAATCAGGAGGGTTAGGCAATAATCGGTGGTCAAAGGCAATCCGGGGTCAGAACAGGAAATACAGGCAACAAGAATAACACTGGAAAGTCTGAATGGGAGTCTAGAACAATCTGGCAACTTTCTGGTGGTGGCAAAGCTGCTTATAACGGGGTGAAAACAGGTGTAAACAATGAGTGCTTGATCAAAATAAAAAGTCCGGAACTGAGATATGGCTATAACAGGAAGTTGACAAAATAAAAGCACGAGACTGGAAACAGGCGGGACATAATCATGACAGTTTTCTAAAGAGGAAGACCGATGGTTACGTACAGTAACCCAAGCTTCTATGAGTATAGGTGTAGCCCTTTAAGAGCTGTCGCTATTGGGTTTATCCCTCAGGTAACGATGCTCACTGATATTGGGCTTTAACGACTCAGTCATTAGGGGACATTGTTGCCATCAAAGGACTGAAACACCACCGATGGGGATAAATATCTCTGACTCAACGCCAAGTTGGGCAGAACTGATGAAGCCTCTTGAATGAGAGGTGAAACATCTTCGACTTCGAAATCTAGTCCAGTTGATTTTTCTAAATTTTTCAGCCAACACTTTATAGAGGCTACATCTAACCAGACAAATAACCTGTTATGGTGTAAACAAACTCTCATGGGCAATGTAGACACAGATGCACACACACACACACACACACACACGTCCTTACAGATGTTATATTTGGCAGTGGTTCATCCTGTCAGGTCCGCTCGGCGTGACCTGCCTCTCTTCCCCTTTCTCTCTCCCATTTTCTCATCCTGCAGGCCAGGCGACACAGCTGAGGCGCATCACCTCAATCAGCAGCTCGCTGGGTGTGGTGCACAGCAGAGGCTCATTCCCGCTGTTATACCCCAGTTCTTTTATTGGACAGATCTGAATAACGAAAGAGTCCGTCTTTCTTCATTTTAGTACTGATTTATTTTAAACCACAAGCAAAATTACAAACACGACCCGGGTTGTTCCTTCCTCCAGAGAGACACACACACTGGCTGCTGGAGAGAGGAGTTCCTGGCCACACAAAGCCTAATACATTTATAAGTTTTGGGCTAACCCCTTACACAGATGAAGTCAGTCTGCAGACTCCATCTCTTATCTAGAGCTCCACAGGCTTGGAACAGGGGGATTTTACCTAGTCATAACAAAATGAGGAAGCTCAATGTGTGTGTATGTTGTCACGTGGTGCATAACTAAGGCATTCATTCAGATATAATATTCTAACAAGATTTAATACAGGAAAGAATTGGTGTCATAAGTAACTGTAGCTCACATTTCAGAATCAACACTCTGCTAACCTTGAAACAAAACAGACTAGAGCAGACTTCAAATATTACTAAACTGCATTACTAATACATTTGATTCAACACATTGTCTAATAATTATCTGACTGATTTACTAATATCTAACACCACTGATTAAGCGGAACCTATTTAACGCACTGGCAGACACTCCGTCTTCGCCAGATCATTGACACTGACACGGTGAGACTTATGTTAACACTGATATTGATACGGAGATAATGATGTTACTTTGCTTCCCTGATGGTGATCGCTACTCTGCTTCCCGGATGGTGAGTGCTACTCCTCCTGGTTACTGCTGTTCGCCTGTCTACTCACCTGTCATCCTGGTCCACTGATCCTCCTGGTTCCTGCTGCTTGCCTGTCTACTCACCTTCCCATCCTCTGGTTCCTGCCGTTCGCCTATCTACTCTCCTGGTCCTCTGATCCTCCTGGTTCCTACCGCTCGTCTTCCTGCTCACCTGCCCGTTCTGGTCTTCTCAGCCTCCACTGCTCAACACTGGTTTGGACCACGCCTAACCCATTTACTTTGTCCACTTATCATCTATGTATATTGCAATAAAGACACTTACTTACTAGCAGCTGAGGTTGCACTTTGAGTCCTCATTCTCTCTCTCACCTCCTGGTGAGGGACCCCACCATAACACATCCCTTGATGAAAAAAGATTTGTCTGGCAGAAAAACAATCAGTGTCCCTTCTTATTTGTTATTGTTATTCTTATTTTTTGCAGAAGGTAAAGCAATGTGTGGGTACATTACTGCCACCTACCAACCATTATGATATGTTTTAAATACTGTACCTCCATCTGGTGGGGTCGTATAAAAAAAACACCTCCTGGTTAACATAACATCAGTCTCACCACAAGTCTCTAGAACTGCCTTCTTTCATCTGCGCAATTTTGCAAAAATCAGCAGCATCCTCCCTCAAAATGATGCTGAAAAACTGGTCCATACATTTGTTACTTCCAGGCTGGACTACTGTAACTCTTTACTATCAGGATGTCCCAATAATTCCCCAAAAAGCCTCCAGTTAATCCAAAATGCTGCAGCCAGAGTACTGACAGGAACTAGCAAGAGAGATCATATCTCTCCCATATTAGCTTCTCTCCACTGGCTCCCTGTAAAATTCAGAATAGAATTTAAAATCCTTCTCCTAACA